GCAGGTTGCTTATGGTCAAGGATAACTAGATAGAAAGTTGATGACTGTTAGAAGACAGGATGTTTAATATTATTATTATTCTGACGTGTATAACTGTAGTCATAGCCATAATATTTTCTTATGTTTAATGTCATGACATGTCACTAGAGGTCGTGTTAGAATGTTTTAGCTAAACACCACATAATCAACAGACAATAACACATTCTTCTTCATGCTCTTACTAATGCTCTGGCCAGCTGCAAACCTGGCAGTGGGAGATGTCACGGTTTGGCGTTCCTGTGTAGAATGGGGCTAGCCCAACCAAAGTGATATAATGTATAGGCCTGTTGTGGTTCGGGGTCTTTCATCTTTCAGCTGCCTGCGTGCATGTTGGAGGTGCAAGATACCTGAGCATGTAATGTTAATTTTTATCTGTGTTCATGAAATAAATCAGCACTGTTTTGAAGTTACTTGGACTGCTTCTTCTCAGAGTTAGCATGGTGAAAAGTACCGGGTCCCAACAAGCCAAAACCCTTGCTGACAGACTGTAATTAAAAATGGATTCAGAGCCAGAGAGTGTTTGTGTTCTCATTTGATATTTAATTCTTCTGTTCTGTTGCCCTCTAGTGGTAAAAAGGGAAATTTAAAAGTACACTTCCTTTATAAAGACAAAGATTCAGCACCACAGTGAAGGATATCTGTTAGACACTAGTGTTCCTCTATCATTGTGTCAAAAGTTTATTTATCATGCATCTCAGAATGATTCTGCTTTCACCTACTTGTCCTGACGCTCCTCTGGACTGGCTGGCTGCTGACTCTGGGCCCGCCCACAGCCCCTCCGCCACTAAGAGTCATCACAGTGAAGTTGTACTGTCGCCCTGGAAACATCCCACCCACGACACACCAGGTCAGGTGAGTCTGCATGATGGACAGGCGGTCTGGAGGGGTCCACTGAATACTGAAGTTATCGTAGTCTCCATAGGTAGGACCGGACCACGACAGCTCTATTGTCTCATTAGTTGAGCCTTGTTTGACAGACAGGTGGGTGGGCGGCTCTGGAGCTGGGAGTGGGAAAAACATCAACCATGGATAACCAAACTATGAAAAACACCACTAACCACAACAAAAGGAACTGTTTAATGTAACTCACAGGTGCGTCCGAAGGTTGAGACATTATTGGTCAGTTCCCCGCTGTGTGTGACAACCTCAGCACGATACAGCCTGCCAGGGATCAGCCCATAGAACATGTGACTCTTGTGCTCCACCCCCAGCATCTGAGTTCCCAGAGTGGCCCCCGAAATGTCATACAACACCACCTGAAATCACACGAAGGCAACAACAACATTAGCTGCTTTAGACTACATTAGCCAGTGTGCTAATGTTTTGTTTTCTGTGTTTAAAACAAAGATTTATTAGTGCTCCATTTTTTTCAGTCAAAAACAAACTTGATTTTGAAGCAAAATATTAGCAGAGGAGCTCTCTAGGCTGAGACTGCAAGACTTAGCTGACTTATTCAGGTGATGTTAGGCAGGAAGAGCCAATAAAATATTACTTATAGCATCCTAAGGTATCATTCCCATAGTACTGTTATAGTCAATATTAAATTCTAATTAGCTCTACTCCAGGATATAAACTAACATCTCGTGGAGCCTGGACATTTTACATCACAGCTCATAAGTCAAAAACACCTGCATCAGGGCTATACGATTCATCGTTTTGTTAGCGTGATTTAGATCCCTGTGCAATCTCAGCCTCATGTGACAATGATTCTGCCCTGTTTTGCATTAGCAAGGAGATGCCTTGTATCAAAGCAAGTGCTCCCATTAACCAAAATCAGGAATGTATTATATCGCCTGATGAGCTGTGGACAGGAAGACCAAGTCAAAAACACATACAACATGTTTGACATGATGAAAGACATTCTGTGCCGTCCTGCCACTATTTTTCAAATGTTGTGCTTCCTGTCCTGCGCACCCAGTGCTGACTATCAGTAGAGGCAGCAGTAAGTCACTTTGCAGTTATTAGTTAATGCAGCTTAGTGAGAAAAAGGGAGCGCTTAGATTGATGCAAGGGATCTCCCTGCTAATGCAAACACTGTCGAATCATTATCACGTGAGATTGCGATGGCACCGGGATCTAAATCATGCTCACAAAATGATTAATCATGCAGCCCTAACCAGCATTACTGTTTTTATCCACTTTAAGTCAATACGTTGAACTTGATGAGCCTCAGCTCTGGCTTTGGTCTCCACCACCTGCTGAGGGAAACCTCTGGCTCTGTAGCTGCTAAATGCTCTGCTGTGTTCCCTAGCTGGTCTCTGACTGGCTCTGTCTGCTGGTTGCTGCTGAGCAGGTCGTGGCAGTTTCTATTTTCAACATTGTATGAGCCGCTGAAATGTCCAGATTGCAGGTGGTGCTGTATGTAACCTCACCGTCCTGGTTCTGAGAGAAGATTCAACTTTCCAAGCTGTGACCCGCCCATCTTTACATTGTTCCTCAACTGAGCTGTAATTTCAGTCACTGTGTAGTCGTCAAAACTTAACTTTGGGCTCAGTGTAATGTGACAACCTCCTCATCATGTAGCAGCAGTGTGTTATCTTCTACGACATTTTGACCAAATCTAATGAATGCCAGCCTCTCCCGTCTGTCAGCTTACCTCATAGCTGCTCCACCTTCCCTCGCCGTGCTGCCAGCTGACCATCAGCCGGTTCGTTTGCCCTGAACTCTGAACCTGAAGAGACGAGACTGGAGATGGGACTGCAGAGCAGAGAGAGACATGAAAAGAAAGAGAAAAGTGAAGAGGGCAAAAGGGAAATATAAAAAATACAGGAATATCTTAATGGAGAAGCAGGGAAAGAAGGAAAACATGAAGGATGAAAACAACAGAAAACAAAATGTGAGGGGTGTTGGGTGGACAGAGAAGAAAGAATGAGGAGCAAATGATGATGGGTAAAGAAGAGGAAGAGAACAACAACTGATGAAGAGGAACGAAGGTAAGAAAACACAACAACATGACAAAACAGGAGAACTGAATGAAGCCGCTCTGGTAGGAGAAAAGGAAGATGCAGCAGTTATTACATCAGATATATAAATGTTGGTGTGGACGTAGCGACTGACCGGTCCGGGCGAGCACAGCCGAGTCGCTGCTCATGCCTCCGCTCCAGCTCACCACCTGCAGCCTGTACAGACGTCCCGCTGTCAGGCCAGAGAACACACAGCTGTCTGCAACTGGACCGACCTTCTGCAGGTCCACCAGCTCACCCGCAGCCTGAGGACCACACATGCACTCAGAGCTCAGTTCATTAGGAACACCTACTGTAGCTCAGTCACTCTAACTGCAGTCAATCCTGATGATGATGCTCACTTTGTGTTCGGACCGGTTCACAGAGCTGTGAGGCTGCAGTTTGTGCTGCTGTTCAGCTGGACTGTGCTACAGTGGAGTGCAAAAGTTCATGTCCCTTCACCTTGAAATGGCAAAAAAGATTTTTTTTTCCTCCTCAACATAATATTTAATGCACATTCAGCTAGTGCAACTGTTCCTTCATCAAAAGAAGTAACAAGAATGGTCAGGCAGGGTATAAAAAGAAAGTTGTAGTAAAATAATGAAAATATCAGTGGCAAAGTGTGCATCACCCTTTATGAAATGTTTTCCAACACTCTGTACACCCTCCCTAACTTAGCGGCAACAGGAATACAAGTTAAGTGTAGCCTGCACAAGTCTGGACTGTTTGGGAAGCAGGAAGCCATCACTTACTTCCAGACAAGGCAGCAGGCTTGGAGTTCGTTAAGGAGCAAGATCATGTGGTCTGGTGAGACCAAAGTTTTATTATTTGGTCATAATTCACACAGGTACAGTGAGGAACAGAAGTATTTGAACACCCTGCGATTTTGCAAGTTCTCCCACTTAGAAATCATGGAGGGGTCTGAAATTCACATTGTAGGTGCATTCCCACTCTGAGAGACAGAATTAAAAAAA